CATTAATATCAGGTACGAGAGAGTGGTTTTGGGCATAAAACTCTATTATATTTTTTATTACATGATTTGGTTATTTTTTAAATTTTTTCAATTATTGGAACAACCACACTAACAAATAAGTGTGAAACCGAATGAATTTCTAAAAAAGATTCTAATAAAATACCTTAATAACTCTGTCTAAATAATTGCTACTTTTAGTAATACTTTGATGGAAATTAATTAAATTTTGATCAATTATATTGTAAGATTCTGATATATTTAATTCATTAAATTCAATTTCAAAATGAAGGAAAAAATAAAACATTAAACCAAATGACATGATGTCAGATTTTGTTGTAACCTATAAAAATATTTTGAATTTAATTATATTTAAAATTAATATGGATAGTAGAGGATCTATGGTAGTTAATAAAATCCTTTCTATGTATTTACGTGCTATGATTTTGTTAAAATTTAATTAATGATAAGAAAAGTATTTTTTCGTCAGGAAATAGTATAATTTATTTTTTAATTAATATTAGGAGAAAAGTTAATATTTTGGAAAATTGTCGGATTTCTCAGTTCTAGTATATAATTTACCATAAATGTTTGATCAATATCCATATCCTCTCTGCCACGAATTTCATAACTTTTATAATTACATGCTCCATAACTAAAAGCTTCAACCTCATTTTGGCCATTTAAAAGAACAGAAGAATTAAAGTCTATTAATTTAACAAAACATCTTTTATTTCCTTTTCGGAAACAAATAAAATTTGTAGATTTAATATCTAAATGTATTGCATCTATAAAATTAAAGAAAAATTATTTTCAGATTTAAAATAAATTAAGAATTATTAAATTTTTATTATTTTTTAAAATTCCTCAGTTCAACCAAAAGTTAATTTAAACATTATTAGGTATATGTAATTTGAATTTTGGGAGAAAAATTTTAGAAGAATTATTATTACAAAAACACATCTTTAAATGAAAACTTAAAATTCCTTTTATTAATAATAAATAAACACATTTATGAAATTCATGTATTGCTTTTGCCACTTCCAACATTATTTGCAATATTATTCTTCCAAATCTTTTCTTTTCTAATAAAATTAAATTTTTTAATAAATTTTAGTTTACATATAATTTTATTTACTCAATTAATTACCCAAAGCATTTATTATTTTTAAAAAATGTAATTATTCGAAGGGAAAAGGGATTAATAAATACTCTATTAATTATCCTGAGTAATAATTGTTTAAACCTCTCGCTGGAGGGGTAATTAATAGAGGCAGGGTAATTATTTGAGGGAGGGTAATTAATAGAGTATATACTTTATTTTCATAAATAACTACCTCTATATATTCTTCTACTAGTACCATTTGGTGATATATTAATTGTAGAAAATCTATCTTTTACATCATTCATATACCTAAACAAAGTTTCATTCCCCTGTTCCATTACAAAACATTTTCCTCTATCTTCATATAAATTACCACTAAATAATAATTAAAAATTATTAAAAAATTATTATTATTATTTACTAATCAATAATTTCAACAATTCTTTCATTTAAATTTCTTGTTTTAAAATATAATAATATATTTAATTCATTATTTGCCATCCATTCTTGTCTTGTCCTTTCTCGATCATCTTCCACTTCTAAAAAAATTTCTTTTATAATTAAACATTTATTTGTTTGTTGAGAATAAGCATGGAAAATCTAAATAAATAAAAATATTTAAATAATATATTTTTTAAATTTATTTAAATTCAGAATTTGGCATCATAAAAACTATTTAGTAGTCCCAAATATAAGAAGATAATTAGAGAGTATATTAGAATTACCTGTCCTGTTGCTCCATGAAATATTTTAATTGTATTCTTAATCAAGTTAATTTCACCAATTCGTACTTCCTCCCATTCGTAAAATGTTTGTCCGCAAGAACAAGTAATTCGTTCTTTATATGTAAAATATTATTAAAATATAAATTTTTTAAATTAATTTAAGAATTAATACTTAAATTTTAATATTTAAAGATTAATTAATTAATTAAATATTTAAATACCTCCTAAATTTGGGTATGAGGAAGAAGAAGAAGCATCTGTTGTTCTAGAGACATTAATATTTGGAGTAATCACTTCTGAATCTTTACTTGATTTACAACCACTTTTTGTTATTTCTATTTTTTAGTATTTAATTAAAAAATAATAATTTTTAAGTTTTAATACCTGGCATAACAAGCAATAGAAAAAGAAAAGTTATTTGAATAAAAATATTACTCATAAAATGATTATTCTCTTTAATTTTATTGTTTGTAATTAATTTTATAATTATTTTTTATGTTTAAAATTTAAATTTTTGTAAAATAAATTTAAAATAAAAAATTGATAAATAGATTTTTTTATTCAAATTAATAAGCGGGAAAAAGAGAGGGTTGGAGAGAGAGGGGAGATAGGGATTTTCAACTTAAACGTCAATAAAGACGTCGATTTTTATACACATACATATTTGTTTACATATTCCCAATTTAAAAATTTGTATTCTGATGTTAATCTCTGAAGTTTTATTTAATTAGCTAGGTAATTCGCCCTTTTGTCTACAAATATGTAATTAAATAAAATTATATTACAATTATACCCCAATCCAATACTCCAGACCCTGCCCCCGTTTAAGTAATTATTATTTATTTATTTGTGTATTACTACAATTACCATAACATACTAGTGATGTTCGGGTATCCCGAATCCCGATCCCGACTCCCGAGGTCATTTCCCGACCCGACTCCCGTTTCCCGATTCCCGAGTTTTTTCTTCTCCCGAACATCACTATAACATACCCGAAAAATTTCTCCATTCTTACCATTTTTTAAAAATTTTTTCCTAATTAAACCCCGTTACCCCGACTTGAACAAATTATAAACCAGGTACACCGGACATACATACACGCTCCGAACGTTCAGGGTTCCTTATTTAATATAATAAAAGTACTTTTAATGTAAAATTCCTATTTAAAAATTTTTCCGCCTAAAATCATTTCCATTAATTTATTTTTTATTTAATTAGATTATTACATTTATTTAAATAACATAAAATAAAAGAAAATTTTTCAATCATTTCTCAAAAACATTTTTAATGTATAAAAATAATTTTTAAAGAAAAATGCGTTATACAAATTATTTATCTAAAGTTGCTTTGACACGGTAATATTTAAAAATACAATCTTTAAAATATATTTTTAAATTTGTAGACAAAGCTACATCTTTGGAAAAATACCAAAATATAAATTCTGCCCAATTTTTTTAAATCAAAAACTGACAAATGGGATTTTATTTGACAAATTTATTATCAAAAGAAATTTATTTACTAACACAAATTTTAGCCAAAAACAAAAAAATTTAAATTTGGAAGAGTTGAGGATTATTTCAGAGACACTTAACAAGTAATGGTTATATGTATGTAGGTACTTCTCTGTTATGTGTCCACTTTTCAAACCTTTTGAGCCAATCTCAACAATTGAGGTGTGATTCGAAAGGACTTTGAGAGTATATCTAATACATATATTTTTATATATTTTTTGTTATAACCCAAACGATTTTTACGTAATTTTTTACGTAAAAAACTTTACGTATGAATGATTTTTACGTAAGAAGCGCAGACTTGTCTGTAGCAACACGAAACTAGTTTTTCCATCGAAGTTTCAGTGGATTATAATTTTGTTATGAATTTCATTCACTTAAAATTGAAGATCTCTTTCAAATTATTTTCATTTAACAATTGTTTATTCTTTATAAAAAAAAGTGGCGACAGTTAACAAGGAAGTATCGCTATTTTTTATTTTAAATTAATTATTGTTATAGTTGAATTAATTTTTAGAAATTTCTACAAAATATTAAGTTGAAAATAATTTTTATTAATTATTTGCCAGCTTTTAATTAATTAGAGAAAATAATTTTAAATAAATATTTTAAATAATTTATAAATATAATTTTAGAACACTAAATCAAGTAGACATTGGAAATGAGATCGTAATTAGTTTACTTAATGATAAACGGTTTAAATTAAAAAATCTTTTATTAAACCTTTAATTTTCCCTATTTTTTTAAAGTTCTTTATTTAAAAATTTATTGGAACAAAATTCTCCACATGAAAAAGGAATTAAAAATATTTTAGATAAACAAAGTTTATTAAAATATAGTCCAAGATCTATAGAAATAGCTAATGGAGTTACTAAATTTTTTAAAGGAGTAAGTTTATATTTATTTTTTAATTTAAAATTAATTAAAGTTGTCATTATTATTAAATCAAAAAGAAATAAATATTGAAGAAATAGAAGATAAATTAGCTGAAATATGTAGAGATAATGGAAAAATGCATTTTCGAATGAAAGTTTGGTTTCAAGCAGAAAATTGGATTTGTTTAGAAAATTCGGTTATTGAGACAATAATTAAAGTAAATAATTTGGAAAAAGAAAAAAGTAAAAAAAGGGGGAAACATTTTCTTTAAATAAAAATAATTTAAATTTAAAGCATTTTTTGTTTGGCAAAAATTAATGCAAGCAGTAATTGGATGGATGAAACAGGGATTTGCAGAGGTAATTAATAATGAAATTGTTTTTGGGTATTAAATTATATAGCTATCTTTTTTTTGAAATTTACTAATTAAATAATTAAAAAATTGAAATTTAAATCAATATTTTAAATTTCAGGCTGAGATGAAATCAAAATTGAATCAGTAGATAAAAATTTAATAAAGGAAATATTATTTGAATAAAACCTTCAGACAAATTGGGAAAATTTTAATGATTATACATATTTATGTAGTTTTAAATAAATGTAGAAATAGACAATAACTTTTATTGAACAAATGTTTTTATTATTATAAAAAATACCCTCGTAAGAAACTTATTTAATAAATTGAGGATAATTAGTTTTGTTTTACAATAAAAACATCAGAAATCAAACATCTAACTTTAATAAAAAGAATTATTTTTAATTCACGTCATATAAAAAGAAATAATTTTAATAACTACAAATACTTTCTTTTAAAAATTCACTATTAATTAACATATACACATTAAGTTCATCTCCAGACATAAATATTTTTTCCCATTGATTTTTAACATTTGTACAATTACTCCGAACTTCTGTAATTCCACAATGATGATAATTCCAACATTTACTTTTTATATTTTTTAATATTTCTTTCATATTTTGTGAATCAAAACCTAAACATTCATTAAATTGTTGAACTAATTCTTCTTTTTTTGGTAAATTGGAAAGAATTTCTGTTAAATTATATTCCTCTACAAATTTGTTAAAATTCTTTTCTAAATAGTCAACATTATGAATATAGCCATTCATTGGGAATTTCTTAAAAAAATTTTAAAATAAATTTAAATTCTGTTTAATTAGACTTGGATTTTGAGCAACCCATTATTTGGTAGAAATAGTAAAAGATTTTTAGGTATTTCTCGATTTTATTCAAAATTATTTTATTTTTATTACCCATTTAAATAAATTAAAACAAACAGAATAATCTCTAGCATGTATTATATACATATCCTCCATTGGCACTCTAATTTGTTGATAATCATCAGCCTCAACTCTATTTGCCCAATGTAAATCAACACCAAATAACCCATTATTTGGTATATAAATAGCTTTTCCATAATAAAATTGTTTATGTCTTTTACTATATTGAATTCCAATATGCCAAAAATCAACAATATTATGCTCTTTTTTAGTCATTTCTTCTAAACTATTTTTTAAATTATTTTTTTAAATAAAAATTACCGAGCGATTCATGAACACCTAAATATCTATCAACAATAAAACCAACATATTTTGGATGTTTATAAGCTAATTTATTAAGTACAGAACTATAGGGAATTGAATAACTACGGGTGAAACATAAAATCGTCCCAATCAGGAAAAGCAATGAAATCTGCACTTTCTCTGTATTCATAAAGACAATCTTGGAAATTAACAAGTTGATTTTGCCATGAAGTTTCAGAATTTGGATTGAAATCCAATGAATCGATAATTGGCATCTAAAATTTTTTTTGAATATTTTATAATTTCTAGACATAAAAATAATTAAAAAAATGAGAAAAGGATTTAGTCCAAGTAATATATCTGCCAGTTTTTTTCAGGAAAATTTTTCCCCAAATATTTCTTATTAAAAAAATCACCTCGAGTGCAGGTCTAATTTGTAATATTCCATTTTTTTCATAAACTTTAATTAATTTAAATATTTGCGGATCTACACTTTGAATATATATCTGTACTAAATCTACTTTATGTGCTCTATATATTTCCATTGCTGTTATAAATAAATGCCATTGATCAAAAGCAAATAAACGACTTGGGCAAACAACAAATTTTCTGTGAATTCTGTCTGCCCATTTTAATTGAACCTTTAAAAATTTATGAAATAATTCTTTAAATTTTTTTTGATTTAATCTCCGTTTAAAGAATTAAATAAATATTTATTTTAAATCCAACCTGAAAAGGTTTTGAATGTCTCGATATTTTAATTTCTACAGATTGTTGACTAAGACGAGAATAGGGATTTAATTCCATATTGTGACAGGCTAAACGATAAACAGATAATTTACACTCAAATTCTGGACGATGGCCAATTATAGGTTCAATATAAGCTTTGCGCCAAATAGGCCATCCATAATTAGAATAAACTAGACAAGCTGAACCTTTTCTCAGATTTTCGATATTTACATCTCTTTCAACATTAAATAGCATAACCATTGTATTTGGTAATTTCTTTTCAAAGCTAATATAAAATTAAATTAATTAATTAATATAGAAATATTGAAATTAAAGAGAACTCTAAAGAATTTTATAGGGCTTCCTTTTTTAGTCGATTGTTATTATTTAATTAATTAATGAAAATTTAATTTAAATTTTTATAATTAAAAATAATAAAAAAAACAAACAATTTAATTTGTTCATAATAAAATAAATTAGTAACAAAAATATGTGTTTTATTTTTTCTCTTTATAGGTATTTGTCTAAAATAAATTAACAAAATAAGAAAATAAATAATATATAAATGGCAAGTATTTTTAAATAATCTTTTTTTAATTAGCATTTTTTATTTTTAAATTTAATGTAAATTTAAAAAGAAGAAATATATAAATAAACTCTAATTACTTAATTAGGTAATATATTTAGATAAAATCTTTTTTTTCTTTAAAAACTTTATTTAATATGTTCTTCTTACATAATTAATTAATTAATGGAATAATTTAGAAAAAATGATTTGTCAATTAAACAAATGATTTGTCAATTTAAAAAAAAATTAATTATGTGTGTCAATCATTTTTCGGATGATAAATTATATTTACCAGCTTGTCAATTAATTAATTTAAAATATTTTGTTGCAAAATTACTTGGCTATGGATAAAACAAAAAAATATTTTAATTCTAAAATTCTGGTTTCAATTTATTAGTAGTACAAGAAGAAAGTAAAATACTTATAATTTTAAATTAAAATAAAGACAGAAAATTTTTGACAAATAAATTTAATTAAATTTATTTTTACAATTAATTAAAGAATTTTTTTATTAATCTGACCACACATTATTTAATTCCTTTTTTTAATTTTCAAAAAATTTCTTTAGTAATTTCTATAATAGTCAATCAATGTGACCTTCATTTTCAATTTTATTCACTCACCTCAACACAAATCTTGTTCTTCGCTCATCTAAATAAAAGCTTAAGCCGAATTTAGCGGAAGAACATAAATAAATAAATTGATTTTATTTAAAAATATATCCAAATAAAATATTTAATTTTTGGTGATTCTCAAAAAAAATAGGTCATTAAATGGTTTTTTAATTGTTTAAAATAATTCACAAAAATACATATTTTTCTTTCTCATTTATCAGTTTAGAAAATGAGAATTCCTGCAAGTGAAGTAAATTTTTATAATTTAAATAAAAAATAATATTTTTTAAAAAAAGGTAATTGATGGTGAAATTTATACTTTTGTTAATTTACTCGGAAAAGGAGCTTTTGGAACTGTTTATAAATGTAAAAATTCTAAAGGGCAATTTGTGGCTATTAAAAGAATTATGGTAAAAAATTAAAAATTATTTAACGAAATTTTTTAAAAAGAAACTGGAGGAATATAAGTAACCTTTTTATAAATAAATTAAAATTGAGGAATTAATTAAAGTATATTAGAGGAGGGAGGGGGAAGAATGTGTATATTTAGATTGATACAAATTATTTTATTAATTATTTTTAACCTTTCCCTAATTTTTAAAGCAATTTTTGGCTAATTATTTCTTTTTGATTTTGGAATATTTCCATAGTTTTTGGATATAATACATAATTCTTTATTTATACATTTAAAATAAACAAATTATCATAAAAATATTTTTTAAGAATGACACAGCAGCTTTGGAAGCAAAAATTATGCGTCAATTGAATAGACCAGAATTTGAACAATATTTTGTGCAATGCCATAAAATATTTCAAAGTGTTGATGGAGCTATTTGTATAGTTATGGAATATTGTTCTGGGGGTTCTTTAGAAGCTTTTGTTAAAAGAGTGGGAAGAATTGATAGAAATTCTGGTATATTAAATATATAAATGAATAATTATTTTTTAAATAAAAGCAAGTACATTTTTGGCACAACTAGTTAAAGGTGTTCAAAAATTACATACTATTGGATTAATGCACAGAGATTTAAAACCTGCAAATATTTTAATTGGCCGTGTTGGTGTTCAAATTAGATTGGTTAATAATCATTAAAAATATAATTAAAACATAAATTAAAGAAAATTGCTGACTTTGGAATTTCAAAAGACATTCCAGACTCTTCTACATTTTTAACACAATGCGGGACACCTTGTTATATGGCACCGTGAGCCATTCAAAAATTTAATTAAAAAAATTTTTTTCAAAAAAGGGAAGTAGTTGAGGGCCAACGTTACGATAAATCAGCAGATGTATTCTCTTTAGGTGCAATTATGTATTTTATGACAAGAGGAAGTCATCCTTCAAGCTTTTATTTTGACAGATGTGGATATCCAGAATATATTGACAGACCTAAAGGACATTCACACAGTTCAATATCTGGTAGAATGATGTGTAAAAGAAAGGAAGAAAGGCTAAAATTGGATGAAATTGAAATACAAAATAAAAATCAATTTTTTCTTTTAAAAACGAGAAATTGTACAATTTGTGGAAGAATTCTTTCAAAATAATTTTATAAAAATTATTTTAATTTATTTATTGGGGGGTATTTCAAACAATTAAAAAAATCTTTGATTTATTTTCTTTTTTCTATAAATATATTTAATATTCTTTAGCCAATTTAAAATATTATTTTCCATAAAAACCAATATTTTCTTGTTTTGTATTAATTACTTTAGGTAATATTTCTTGTATCTTAAATTAATTAATTTTAATTAATTTATTAATTTTAAAAACTTCTTTTTGTAACATTTCATCAGTTAATTGAATTCTTTTTGGATTTTGATTAGAAGAGGAAGGAATACCTCCATTATCTTTTACCAAATTATTGGCTGTTAATTGTTGCTAAAATTTAAAAATAATTAAAGTTTTTGAATCGGAAAATGTTTTTGATGCAGAAAATAAAATTTTTAATGGTTAAAAATATTTTAAAATGAGTCCCGAAAAATTATGCTCAAAGATTTTTTGGAAAATTGGGCTCCAACTTTTCTGAAATTTGGGTTACAGCGAAATTTCAGGCTCTGAGCGAGAAACCGAAAAATTGGTATTTATTTAGTAAAAACTTGTACAGCAATAAAAATTAAATCCAAAAATTCATTTCGGCACCCACAATTCACTGCAACTAAAATTTTAGAGCCCAATTTTCAGTTTTTTTCAAGCCAAAATTCCGCGAGAGCCCAAATTTCCAAAAAATCATGGAGCCCAATTTTCCACACTTTAAAATTTTTTAAAATAATTTTCTAATAGAATATTTATTTATAAAAAAATATTTAATACACACAATTGGATCCCACTTAAAAAGTCTATTAAATTGGACAGGTTGATTGAAGTTGTATGTCCCGAGAAGACAATTAATTGATGTTAAAAAGCAAAAAGAAAATAAAAATATAAACAAAAAACTTTGTTTAGAAGTTAATGCCATTAATTTTAAATTTACCAAAGATAACTGAATATTAAAATATAAATAAGTAAATAATTTATTTTTAAAATCAAATGAAATCTACTTATTTGAAATCTACTACTTAATTTCAAGATTAAAGTGCTACGTTAAGTCGAATTGTTAACAAATTATTCGAAAAATCAACGTTGCTATGTATAATTTTGGGGCACTATTAATATATAATAATAATTTTTTAAAAGAATTTAATTGTTACTTTCTTTAACGATTTAATGACAAAAATATTTAACCAATTTTATTATTTTTACTTTAAATAAATTAATTTGTAAGGCTCTTTATGGTTTATTTAATTTGTAAAATAATTTCTAACGAATTATTAAGAGGAGGGTGTGGATATTTAATTAATAAATAAATGTGCTGAAAAACGAACGATTTGTTATAAAATAATTATATTTATTAATAATTGTTAATATTTATTTATCAAAAATGGAATAAATGACGAGAGACACAAACAAAGGTCGGAACAGTCGGATCTGTCAAGACTGAAATGAATTAAAGACCAAAAAAACTTTTGATATAAATTTATATTTTTAATTGATTAATTAATTTTTAAAATTTTATCAAAGCCAAACAACGGCAAGATATCTAAAGGGGAAATCCTCACATTAACAAAACTAAGGATAAATAATTTAAAAAAAAGCATTTATATTTATTTAAATAAATATCCTTTACACAAAAAAATTAAAAAAATTTCCTATTTTATTCGTTATTATGTCATTTTCAGACATTTAATTTTGGTTGACAAAAATTAATTTCATCTCTATTCATTATAAAATATTAATTTGCATTTGTAAAAGACAAGTTGGCCAATAATCAGTCAAATAAATTGTTGGAATTAATAAATTCTTTTGAAAATTTATTTTTATATTTTATTTTAATAAAAAATATTTTTTTTAGAAAATCTTTGAAATTTTTTTAAAAATAAATTAGAAATATCCGAAAATGGTAATTTTGGTGGTTATTGAAAAGGAAAAAAGAATAAAAATAGAAAATAACGAAATTGTGTTATTTGTTGCAGAAATTTAGTTACAAAATTTTTAAATTGTTTAAATGTTTCTGACAAAATATTTCGAATTTTTTTGGTAAATTAAATTTAAAATTTAAATTTCATTTTTTGTAAATATCTCCTCTGATATTTAACAGTTTTTAATACTCCCTTATTTTAAGGGGACTGTCAAAAAACAGATTTAAACTAAAAATAATTGTAGATTATACAAAGATTTCTAAATTTAAACTTTTTTTTTATTCTCAATTTTTATTTTAAAAGTACAAAAATAAAAAATTTTTTGTTTTTGTTTGCTTATTGATGAATTTAAAGAGGATTTTAAAATTAATTTTGTTCATTCTAGAGTGATTTCTTTTGAGTGTTTTGTTTACGGTTAAAAAATCGGCTTAAAAGTTTATTTTTTTAAATCATCTGAATAATCAACAACTTTGCTTATATAAATATTTAAAATATATAAATGAAGGTTATTTTGATAAAAATAAATATGTATTCTCTCTACAAATAACGGAATTTTCGTCTTTATAAATTTAATTAATAGATTAATTTGAACAAAATATAGAAAAAAGAAAACAAAAATA